TTCTGTCACTCATCCTCTAGATTTTAAGACTAGCCTAGTCTCCCCCCCCGGCCGAGGTTGGCCAGCCCTCCCCAACCTTGGGCAGGGTCCAGTACAACTCGGGCCGGGGATTCCACCTTGCTTTGGCTCACCCCGGAAAAGGGGACCGAGCATCGAACTTTCCTGGCATCCGTGCCAGGCTGAGCCTCCTGCCCGAGGCTACTCCTGGACTCCCAGGGAAGGGCGGCCCATGGGAATAGAGGCAGAGGCATTCCCCGGAGCCGGCCCCGGCACAGAGAAGGCAGAAAGCCAAACACCTGCAGCTGCGTGTGCGGCCAGATGGCCAGATCCCCTCTTGGCTTTCGGCCACCGCAGCTGGCGGTGAAGCGTCCCCAGCCAGGGCTCCGTGCTGGGTTATTTCTAGCCCCCGTCCTTTGGGCTCACAACTCCCTTTATCCGGCAGAAGAGGCGAGTAGTTTGTCCGCCCCGCCCAGCCCCACGGCCACTTGCTGGGGGGAGGGGGCTGAAGGTCTGGGTGGCCCTGAGGGCTTTTACCGATTGGAAGCTGGGGGCAGCGTGGATAAGTAGGCAGGATATGGGGGCAGGTCTGTGGGCTGCTAGGACGTTGGGTCATGCTGTGGCCCCGTGGAAGCTAGTTGTGGGGGACGGGGCCCAGCCGGCCCCTTGGCTCTGCCGTTTGTCAGACAGTTTTCAAGATGACCAGCGCCCAAGTTGCTGCTTCCCCTGCCTGCTCTGCTCCCTGATGTGTAAAATGCTCCACGGGGCCTGAGCCAGGTTTGCCTCCGGCCTCGCTGGGGGGTGATTTCCCTCGGGCAGCAATCGCCCGAGTAGCAGGAGCGGACCCAGCGGCCTCTGCGTGGAATAGGCCCAGCAGCCGCCCGCGAGCGTGAGGGGGGTTCTGGAAGGAACGTGCCGGAGTCCAGGGCCCCTTTCGGGCTGCGCAGCTCCACGCGCCCCGTCCTGCTGCCGTTTGCCTGGCAGGGCGTTCGGAGCCAAGGGGCAGGGAGAAGCACCTCCCCTCCCCCGTTTCCCGAGCCCACCCTGTGAATCTCTCTGCCAGGTCCTCGGGAGTTCGGGCAAAGTGTACACCTGCTACGCCGCCTGCCACTTCTGCACGTGCCCGGCGTTTGCTTTCTCCGTCCTGCGGAAGAACGACAGCCTCCTGGTAAGCAGCCGCCTTCCCCGCACGGGGCCGGGCTGTGCAGACACCTCCCTGCGCTGGATTTCACAGCCGGGGTTGTGCAAGGCAGGAAAGGCGAGGTGGTGAAATGGTGGGGCAATCTCCCAGGGCAGCGCTGGTTTGGGGTGAAGGGGGACGGTTCACAACTGTGGAGAGCCGTGGCCCTGGGGCTCTGCCTGATCTGGGGCTCCGAAGGGGAGCCTCGTGCACTGAAGTCCAGCACACTGGCCAGCAGGGCCCGGGGCTGATCCAGTGGTGAGGACGCAGGGCCCAGCGCTGCTTCCTACTTTACTTCCCACGGGGCCCACTCTGCGGGCCTCTGGCTAACACCCTGGGGCAGAGGGCATCTCACAGAGAGTCCTGGAATAGAATGGGGAGGGCCCTCGTGGGGTCAGCAAGTCCCGTCCCCTGCCCTCCCGGCAGGACCAAGCACGGTCTAGAGTCTAGCCCATCCCTGGGAGGTGTCTGTCCAACCTGCTCTTAAATATCTCCAGAGATGGAGATACCGCAACCTCCCTGGGCAATTTCACTCTGACCGGGCAACTTATTTCAGTGTTTGACAGGCAGGAAGTTTTTCCCGATGTCCAACCTAAACCTCCCTGGCTGCAGTTTAAGCCCGTTGCTTCGTGTCCTATCCTCAGAGGCCAAGGAGGACAATGTTTCTCCCTCTTCCTTGTAACACCCTTTTAGATATCTGGCCTATCCTGTCCCTTCTCAGTCTTCTCTTTTCTAACCCAACTCTTTCAGTCTTCTCTCCTCGCTCATGTCCTCTGGACCGTTCATCATTTCGGTTGCTCTTCTCTGGCCTTTTTCCAATTTCTCCACATCTTTCCTGAAACGTGGCAGCCAGAACTGGACCCAGTACTCCAACTGAGGCCTAATGGGTGCAGAGGAGAGCGGAAGAATGACTTCTCGTGCCCTGCTCCCACACTCCTGGCAGTGCAGCCCAGAATCCTATTTACTTTCTCTCCAGCAGTGTCACGCTGTTGATTCATATTTAGCTTGTGATCCACTCTGACCCCTTGGGCCATTCCCACAATGCTTCTCCCTAGGCTGTCATTGCCCAATTCTGCATGGGTTCCTCCCTCAGTGGAGTCCTTTGCATTTGTCCTTGTTGAATTTCAACCTTTTTATCTCAGATCATTTCTCCAGTTTGTCCAGATCATTCTGAACTACGACCCCGTCCTCCAACCCGCAGCTCCTCCCAGCTTGGCGTCCGCTGCAAACTTTGTAAACGTACGTTCTGTGCCATTAGCCACATCACTGCAGCGACTGAACAGACCTGGTCCCAAAACCGATCCCTATGGAACCCCACTTGGTTTGCCCATCTAGCATGACTGTGACCCTCCATGATTGACAGCTGCTCTCTGGGCGTGGTTATCCAATGAGTTCTGTACCCATTGTGTAGCAGCTCCAGCTACACTGTATTGCCCTCGTTTATTAATGAGAATGTCATGTGAGACTGAATCAAAAGCCTTTCTAACATCTAGATAACTCTCATCTACCACATCCCCCTTGTCCACAGGGCTGGTTATGCTGTCAAAAAAAGCCATCCGCTTGGGTTGACATGATTTATTCTGTACAAATCCAAGCTGGCTCTTACCTATCACCTTATCATCTCCCAGATGTTTGCAGATGAATTTCTTAATTATTGCTCCGTTATCTTCCCTGGCACAGACGTTAAACTGACCGGTCTGTAGTTTCCTGGGTTGTTCTTATTTCCCTTTTTATAGCTGGGCACTAGATTTGCCCTTTTCCAGTCTTCTGGAATCACTTCCATGATTTTTCAAAGATGAAAGCTACAGGCTCAGATCCCTCCTCTATCAGCTCCTTGCGTATTGTAGGATGCATTTCCTCAGGCCGTGGTGACTTGAAGGTATCCACCTAGTCTAAGGCATTTTTAACTTGCTCTTTTATTTTTGCTTCTGACCCGGCCCCAGTTTCATTGGCGTTCGCGGTGCGAGGCGTCCAGTCGCCGCCAGCCGTCTGGGTGCAAACTGAAACCAAAAGTCATTAAGCGCCTCTGCCATTTCCAAGTGTCCTGTTGTGTCTCCCACTTGAGGGGAAAACAAAACTGGAGAAGGTGGAAGTGGCAGAGGTGAGCGGACGCAGGAGGAGGCCTGAGACCAACTAGAAGGGCCAGGCGCTTGGGGTGTTTCCCTGGGACCATGTGTCTTTGAGCTGAAGAGACTTGGGGCCTGCAGAGGCTAAGCAAGGGAGGGAAGGCCTGGACATGATCTTGGGAGGGGGCAGGTGTGGGGCAGCAAGGCCAGGCATCCGTGAGCCTGGGTCTGTCTGGTCTTTGACACACCTCCCACAGGACACCCTGCAGAGCAGATGCAGTGAAGAGCCCGGGGTGAACTCTGCCTTGATCACACCGTTGACCTGGGCCCAGCTGGTTCTGGGAGGGTTCTTGACCCGCTCTTCAGCTTGTGCCCACGGTCCGAGGTTGGGACGTGTTGGGGTCAAGAGGAAGCCCTTTAAGCACAGCCCAGCCATCCCCGGCCTGTCACTGTACTCTGTACCTTGCAGTGTAAGCACCTCCTGGCCGTGTACCTCAGCCAGGCCGCAGGCGTGTGCCAAGAGCTCTCCGTCTCTGACCAGCACCTGGCAAGCATCCTCCTGGAAGAGGAGGAAGGATGAAGCCCATGGACCACATGCTAACATGACCTGCCCTGCCCATGCGTCCTCTGAGATACATCCACTCGTGTCGCTGACGTCCCCAAGCCGCAGGAACAGCGAGCCGGGCTCTGCGTTTTCTTCCCAAGCTGCCGTTAGGCTGGAAGTGAAGGGGCAGCCCTGGCCGGTGTACGAGTGAGTCACATCACGTTGTAATAAATGTAATGAACTCTCATGCTGTTAGGTGAGACGTTGGAGACGCCAGTGCCCGTCCTCTCACCAGCTGCTCTGGTTCCCGAGGGAGCATTGACTGGTTCTGGGCAGCAAGGGCTTGGGAGGGTGGGGCTCCGAACACAGAACCAGCAGCTTCCTTGGCCCTCCCTAATACTTCCCTAGCGCGGGGTTGGTCTCGGGCCGGGTCTACACTAAAGGGGAAACGTTGACGCCAGATACGCTGCTCCAGCCACGTTAATTCCATAGCTGGAGTTGAAGAATTGTAAATGGTGTTTTGGCGCCGTCCGCGCAGCGGGAGGTCAACAGGAGCACACGCCCCCGTCGATTTCCCTTACTCCTCCTAGGAGCTGGCACTGCTGGGAGCGACCTCTTCACTAGACCCGCTAACGTGAATGCCGGAAGATCGACTGCGGCAGCGTCACTCGTCGCTGTAGTCTACGCAATCCCTTGGAGTAGCTTCCCTCCCCCGTCTCTGGGGGGCTGGCCTTTTACTCGTGCGCCTGTCCAGACCCAGGCTACTGAGGGTGACCCCACAGGTAGAAACTTGTTGTTGCTACCGAGTTAGTCACATACCTGTCCCGGGGGAGGGGGAATGTGGATGCAGCCCTGCCGGGGAGGTTTTTTATATCACAAGCTTTAATGTCCCGGGGCATCAAATCGCGCCAAGAGCTGTAACTCGGAGAATCAGTCTCGTTTCACCAAAATGGGCAGAAAGATTCACACCGTACTGTGCACACCAACGGGGCCTGTTCTGGAACACGGCCGAGACATAGTTGCCCCCGGTGTGTGGCCTGTCTGCATTTGCCTGTGCTTTTTGGTCTGCCGTTAAGCCTGTAGTCACCGGACAGTAGGCGCGTGTGTGTACCATGCTCATACTTCACGAGCGTTGTCATTATTTGCAGAACGGACTCAGCTGGGAAGGGCTTTTGGTGGCTGTGATGTAAACGCCTACCCCTTCGGTTTTTTGATGCCTCTGCTCAGCCAGTGTCGTTAAGCTAATTAAGCACATATGCGATAACTGTAATTACTTATTTGTCATTGTCGTCAGTGACAAGACAATGGCCACTACTTAGGTAACGAAGGATTCGAGCAGGGCAGAGCCTGTGACCCCTCCACCCAACCGGGAGCTCCTCAGCTGCTTACGCCCAAACGCTGCTGGCAATTAGCAGGCAGGTAAAACCTTTCTCCTGCCCCGCAGACGTGGTCACTGCTCTGTTCCTGCACTCGGCCTGGGCACAGCCATGTGCAGGAGAGCAACCCAACGCTCCCCTGCGGCATTCGCAGCGCCTTGTTACGCTGCCCAAAGGGAGCAGGTGGCGGGAGCTGGCGGCTGCCCCAGCGTGTTAGGAACAAGAGGGCCCGTGCTAGCGAGCGCCCCAGCCGGGGCCAGCCAGAGCGACCGAACTGTAGCATGCGCTGCTATCCAGCCAAGCGTGTGTTTGTTCAAGGACGCCGCTTACCCGGCGCTGCCGCTGCGCCCAGCGCGCAACAGTGCCAGGGTGTGGTTGTGCCATGCAAAGGGCGGGGTGTGCTAGCAGGGACCATTATACTTACAAATGGCCACGGGGGGTAGTAGGTGCCCCAGCCCCAGCATGCAGCTGCTGGCCGGCAGCACAGCCCCTGGGCGGCCAGGCAGTGCTGGGTAAGTCTTGGGGGTCTGCGTGTGCGGCTGAGTGGGGGTATCGCTCTCACTTGGGCTAGCGCACGGCCTTGGCGACTGCAGCGGTTGGCCGGGCTTGCGGGTACTGCGAGCTGCCGGCTGG